GCAGTGCTTCTTCTCCTGTGTGTGACATTAATGCCAACTGCTTCAATACTCGTGGATCTTATTACTGCACTTGTAAGGCAGGATACACTGGCGACGGAAAAACTTGCCAAGGTAAAATAAGATACTTTAGCCAATTTCAACAGGACCAGCTGAATATTTCCATTAAGAAAGTGTTATTTTATTTATTTTTTTATTTATTTTTTTTGTTATGATTTGTTTGTTTGTTTGTTTGTTTTTTTATGTTAAAGCTTTTGCAATACTGTAACTACATAGTTATAGTCATGCAAATAAAGCTTATGTTGTTGTTGTTGTTGTTAAAGTGTTTTTTTTTTTCATGTTGTTCTTCTTAGACACTGACGAATGCAGTGTTTCCCCTTCTGTATGCGACATCAACGCCAACTGCTCCAATACTCGTGGATCGTATTACTGCACTTGTAAGGCAGGATTTACAGGCGATGGACAAAATTGCCAAGGTAGGAGAACATTCTTTAGCTAATAAGTTAGCTTACTGCTGTACCATCAGAGATAGCAGTTTCGTAGAGACGAGTGACATCATTTAAGATGGCGGCTAATAATGATATCGCGGCAATTCATCGAGTCCGTGTTTCTTTCTAGTAACTGGACGCTTGTGTTTTCCACTCAATTCGTTGTTCAGGTTTAAAATCTTACACTTGTTTTTTCTCTTAAAGAAGGAAAGGGATATAGGATGTTTCGTGCAACTGTTTACACGAAGTAATCCATGTGCATACTTTGGGGAGTCTTACATGATCTCGGGGGCGGGTAAGCTGGAAGGTCGGCCATGTTGCATTAAAGTAATTCTGTTGTGGTTCAATCCGTGTCCAGCGTGCTATAAATGCCTCACCTTGCACGTGTACATTCATTGTGTGGTTTTACGCTGACTTCTGCTATTTGCTCATCTGGTACAAAAGTTAAAAATAGCGTTTGAACGAAGCTAGCACTTAATGAAGGCAGAGTAGTCATCAAATTCTTTCCAATAGAACCAGCATTTTGCTTCCAGGAGTCTGGCTTATTGCAATTTGAGGGCCACCGGTGAGTTTGGTCAGTTATATAATCGGCCACTGAATTAGCTTTTTGTCAATTTTTCATCATGCCGCATCGCTGATGACAAAAGACAAAACTTGACAAAGAAATTTTGATCAAAACCTCACATGTTAGATAGGATGGGTGCTTTTTGGGTCTTTTATTAGGGGTTAATGCTGTTAAATAATGTTTGTTTGAATGTGTAGACATTGACGAATGCAGTGCTTCTTCTCCTGTGTGTGACATCAATGCCAACTGCTTCAATACTCGTGGATCTTACTACTGCACCTGTAAGGCGGGATACACTGGCGACGGAAAAACTTGCCAAGGTAAAATAAGATACTTTAGCTAATTTCAACAGGACCAGCTGAATATTTCCATGAAGAAAGTGTTTTTTTTTTTCTTGTTTTTTTTCATGTTGTTCTTCTAAGACACTGACGAATGCGGTGTTTCCCCTTCTGTATGTGACACCAACGCCAACTGCTCCAATACTGGTGGATCGTATTACTGCACTTGTAAGGCAGGATTTACAGGCGATGGAAAAAATTGCCAAGGTAGGAGAAAATACTTTAGCTAATAAGTTAGTTTACTGCTGTACCATCAGAGATGGCGGCAGTTTCGTAGAGACGTGTGACATCATTTAAGACGGCGGCTAATAATGAGATCGCCGCAATTCATCGAATCCGTGTTTCTTTCTGGTACCTGGACGCTTTTTTTTATACTTATTTCGTTGTTCAGGTTTAAAATTCTACACTTGTTTTCTCTATTAAAGAAGGAAAGGGATGTAGGATGTTTCGTGTAACTGTTTACATACTTTGGGGAGTCTTACATGATCTCGGGGGCGGGTAAGCTGGAAGGTCGGCCATGTTGCTTTAAAAGTAATTCTCTGTCGTGGTTCATTCCTTGTCCCTCGTGCTATAAATGCCCCACCTTGCGCATGCACATTCATTGTGTGCTTTTACCCTGACTTCTGCTATTTGCTCATCTGGTACAAAAGTTAAAAATAGCGTTTGAACGAAGCTAGCACTTAATGAAAGCTGAGAAGTCATCAAATTCTTTCCAATAGAACCAGCATTTTGCTTTTAGGAGTCTGAAAGTTTTAAACTTGTAGTAGGACGTCAACGCGAAGTATCGATTGGTTTCTAGAAATTTCTCGGGCATGAAGTTTTTTCACCCGAGAGTTCGCTTAACCAAACAAAAGCCGCGCGCGTTCGTATCTGTTCGATAAACCGTTTTCATTTCAAGGTCATATGAAAATCGCTCTAAAGATCAGAGGCTCCCTTTGTCCTCGACTTTCCCTCCTCCTTTGGGCCCTTTCGTTAATATTTTAATTACATCTATTTTAATTGAGTACATTAACTTCTATGTATGTGGTAATACACTTTACCTAGATATAAATTGAGTGCAAAGTAGTACTGTCTCACTGTATCTGTATCATGACACCATCATCATCTTCATCATTGCATTTGATAAAGTAGGTTAATATGCAAACACATTGGTTTTGATGTTGATTCATTAGGGAAACTGATTAAAAAACCCTTCTTCTACTTTCCTATTTTTTGAAAATCAATTAACGATAATTATCCATATTGTATTAGTTCGTTAATTCTGAAACTGAAATTTTCCTGTTCCATTATTATCGACCCCTCCAGCTAACTCTATTTAAAGAAACTGAATTCTGTATTAAAGAAGAGGAAGACATGATTCTAACACTTGAGAGCTTAGGAAAACTTCCGAGCTCACGGCGAGAATCGAACTCACGACCCTACGAGTTCTAGTTTGTTCGCTCTCATCAATGAGCTACTGGAACTCTAATGGCGTGCAAGTCAGAATTATATTTCAAAAAGTACACTTGCATTTCAGGATTGCGTCGGAGACTTGCTCAAAATTCGGCCGTCCGCCAGCGTACAAACAAAAAGCTGTATATTTAAAGAAGAAGAAGAATTCTAACACTTGAAGGCACAGAATAACTTCCAAGTAAAGTAACACAGCTCCTGGTACTCGAAGTTTATAAATCAAACTTTTTTTCCGCTGGTTCACAAGGCCAAACCCCGAAAGTCCACCCGGCCTTGGGCAAAGTTATTGGTTTTTGAGAAATTTATACTACAATGGGATTATGTATTCCCCTAGACTCTCTTTGATTTTGACAAATTTTCCTCCTTCGCTTCTCACAGGCACCCGATTCATTCTTTTTCCCTAAAATTCCATTTAGACCATAATTATTTAGGATTCCTTGACTAGATTTTATACAAAGTATGAAAGTAGTAACTACAATAATAATAATAATAATAATAATAATAATAATAATAATAATAATAATAATAATAATTATTATTATTATTATTATTATTATTATTATTATTATAATTCCCCATATGGTTTGCTAAGTTGATGGAGAAGCTTGCTAACGGCTAGAACACTAGAATTTTCGCCCAAACCCAAGGCAAAGAGATGCCTCCTTCAATACGTTTTAAGAAAGGACTGCCGGAAGGTGGTACGCTCTGTCCTATGCTATTCATATTGTGCTGGAATCCAATCGCACGGAAGGTGCGGGCGACTGAGGGATACAGGCTATCTAAGCCTATATCAACTAAGATCATTCACCTACTATACATCGAGGACATGAAGTTGTTTGCTGCTTCTGAGAACAATTAAGCTGAAACGAGTCATGACAATCGCAAAGAATGGAATCGAAAGGAACGGTTTGAAGTGGAATGAGAAGAAGTGTGCAGTGATACACGTGAAGCGGGGACAAGTCGAACAAGGAGGTAGAGATATGAAGATAGCTGATCTTAAACCTATCAAGAGCCTGGACCAATATAACACCTATAAGTTCTTAGCCGTCTTCGAAAACACCAAGCAAGAGGATAATTAAGCAAGTACTGGAAGCCGCAGCAAAGACATACTTACAAAGGCTATCAATCATCTAGTCCAGCCTATTGTCAGATCATGCAAATTAAAGGTAGTGGCGTCCAATCAGTTCATTTTACCAATACTTACATACTAATCGAAGCTTAGAAGGTAAAGCAGGCAATCTACAAAGCCCGCCAGCAGGAGCTACAATCAAAGGTGTCTGAGGAGAGATGGCAAAGAAAGCTTATCAAGAACAGATGGAACGAAGAGAAAGTTAAACTGGAGGAGTGCTTTGCGTGGCTTTCCTCATGGAAGAATGCCCCAACGCATACCATTGCTGGAGTACAAGAACTTTACCAACACGCACTGGCACAGACTAAGTACCTACAGAGACATAACAATGCTTCAAGATCTTATTATTTGAAGTCCTTAGATCTTTAGATCTCATTACTACAGTTGGACCGTGGTTCTCACAAGTCACACCCAAGCCGCTATATGAGAATGAGCATGCGACCACCTTCTGGGACGTCGCATTATTCGCTAACACAACTCAAGTAAAAGCTAATAGAATCGACGCCACCGTCATTGACAAGACCAGCAAGCAAGGTAGAGTGATTGAAATGAGCTGCCCATGGCTGGAAGTCATCTAAAGATTTCGAGAAGACAACGAAGTACAGTCATACTGAGACTAGAGCTGACGAGCCGATATCTTGAGTACGAGGTCAATCAGTATAACATCATCATGGATGTCCTTGGAGGCTGTTCAAAAGAGGTTGAGCAAATTATGAAAGATCTTGTAGGAGAAAAGTGTGAATCATTATGCGCCAAATGCAAAAGGCAATCCTGTCTAGTTCATTACACATTGCTAGAATGTTCAAGCTGAGCGGTTAGATATCTATAGGAATTTTGGACACCTATTTTAACAGATACTTAATCTTGTACATTATCGAAATTTTATTGACATATCTTAGACGTTCTCATAATTTAATGGACAGCTATATGAACGATGTTTTCTAACTTATGAAAATTTTTATTTTATAATTTAAGACCTGCATAAAGCTTGTAGGATTTATTGATTTATGTAATTTTTTTTTATGACATTTTTATCAAATCATTTTTACCTAGGTTCTTTTGGCACAAATTATTTTGTAATTGTTACTACAAATTTTAGCCGATACTGCGGCTGGTTACGGCTTGCCGCCCAACCAAAGCTTTTATTTTTTACTCTGGGCATCCAGACGTTTGTACTGCCATAATAATAATAATAATAATAATAAAAGCTTCTCAAATACAAAGACTTGGAAATCGTGGTTGAGCGAATGTGGGTACTCAAAACAACAACAGTCACGGTGGTTAAGTCTATGCTTTGGACTCGGATGTTGAGAGAGAAAAACAATTGCAATTACACTAGTATATCTTATATAATAAAATAATAATAATAATAATAATATATTTGAAATTCCAAAAAACATACTTTATTAAACTATTCTCACAATTAAAATTAATACAAATTTGGTATAACTAGAGTTAAAAAAGACTTCTTGGTGGTCTGGTGATTTTCAACAGAGCAAATGTAAACAACTGTCTATAAACTAAGAAATGAAAATTTCTATGTACATCCCAGTAATAAAGTATCTATAGCTGTTGAGTCTAGGGAAGTGCTGCTTGACCCTTCTCTATTTCTAGATCCCTGTCCTTAACATCTAAGTTCCTCCTTCTCGGGGTTCTCGATCCCTTTAGGCATAGGAGCGCGCTCCGCAAAATTGCAAAGGGCACTTTCGCCCTGACCCATGAAATTGTTGTGGCGTATAGCGCTCTTGCTTTTTTGTAGATAATAGCTCGGCTAATCTTGAGTGGTATCTCAGGCATTCGTCAGCCATCCCTACCGTCGTTGTAAATATTAGTGGGGTGAATGTGCCTTGCCCTGTTTCTGTGACGCGAGAGTTGTATTTTCGCTTCTTTTCATTTTCATGAATCCTGAAGATTTGCTTGGGGCTAAGATGTCTATACTTCGCATTGGGATGGCACACCCTTATATCGAAAAATGCAGCCCTATGTCGCTCCCAGAAACCCCTACAGTGGACGTCAAGGCGTGCATCAGGGGCTTGGTTAGTCCTCTGGCAAGCTCTTCGCCTGTAATAGGTTGTAATGCCGGTGCAAGTTGCACATCGTAACAAACCGTGTCAAGCAGCTCGGCCTGTAGCTCACGTATTTCATTGTGGCGCTGAATAACTAAGACTCCACGCTGGCAGATCATCGCGTGATCTACTGTAAACATGCTTCCACAAACGCATACTGACGGATTATTATTGACAGATTATAATAATAATAATAATGATAATAATAATAATAATAATAATAATAATAATAATAATAATAATAACAACAATCGGCTATTTTTCATTGGTGGGAAAGAGATCGTGTCAGCAGAAGGAACAACACAGGGCGATCCGCTTGCTATAGGTCTATATGCCTTAAGCATCATCCAGCCTTTAATTACGAGTCTACAAGCGGCGTCCAGCGTGAAGCAATGTTGGTTTGCAGATGTTGCTAGTGAGCTGGCTCCATTATGGAAATTCGGACGTGGTGGGATGCCCTTAGCACCCTTGGTACGGATTTTGGCTATTTTCCGAACGACAGAGAAATGCTGGATCATCGCAAAACCAGCTAAGGAAGAAAGTGTCAGGAAAGCTTTCAAGGACACGTCCATTAACGTAACAGTACAAGGGCAGAAAAACCTTGGGGCGGCAATAGGATCAAGGGAGTATTTAGAGGAATATGTCAGCGAAAAGGTGACGAATTTGATCAGTGACATAGCTAAGTTAGACGAATTTGCTCTATCTCAACCACAAGCGTGCTACGCAGCCTACACCTTTGGCTTGAAACATCGGTGGACGTGCTTTTTAAGAACTTTGCCGGACATTCAAGATCTGTTAGAGCCATTAGAGAATGCAATATCTCATATGCTTATTCCTGCGATTACTGAGCGCAAGTGTAATCAGCTGGATAGGAATATTCTAGCGCTGCCAGTTCGCTTGGGTGGCCTGGGCCTGGGAAACCCGTCCCTTGAAGCAAGACGCGAATATGTTTCGTCTGTCAAAGTAACAAAGCACCTTGTTGAACAAATTGTATCTCAGTCACATCAGTTACCTGAAGATTCCCTCACAAAACTAGCACAACAGGAAATAAGAAGTGAAAGATTAAAGGCACTCGAACACAGGGCAGAGCGTATTAAGGAGATGGCACAAGAAAGACTCAGCGAGCATTAGATCTGGCGACGGAAAAGGGATCGTCAGCATGGCTTAATGTGCTTCCCCTCCAGGATTTGGGTTTTAACCTGAATAAGAGAGGGAATTCCGTGATGCTCTTAAACTACGCTACGACTGGCCAGTGGAAGATATTCCCTCCACATGTGCTTGTGGGGAAGCCTTTACGGTTGCAAGCTAGGAGGTTTTATTACTCAACGCCACAACGAGCTAAGAGATCTCGAAGCTGAATTTCTGAGTATGGTGTGTAGCGATGTCGAGATCGAGCCAGCTAGTACTTCAAGACATCTCCGGCGAACATTTAAACAGAGGATCTAACAAAGCTCAGGATGCGAGGTTAGATATCCCCACGCGTGGTTTCCGGGAGCGACATCAACCAGCATTCTTCGATGTGAGGGTCTGTCACCCTAATGCTGTATCGTATAGGAACCTAGAGCCACTACAAATTCGTATCCATGAGAATGAGAAAAAGCGTCTCTACTCAATGAGAGTCCTCGACATGGAGCATGCATGGAACATTTACACCTTTGGTTTTCACCACAACTGGCGGAATTGGAAAGGAGTGCTTGATGTATCATAGCCGTTTAACACACCTGATTGCCATCAAAAAAGGGGAGCAGTATGCCAAAACCATCTCATTGATCAGAACCAGAACCTCTTCGCACTCTTGAGGTCTGCGTTGGTTTGTCTTAGAGGCTCTAGGACAAGAAGAGTGCCACGCCGACATTAACAATGTTGATATTGATGTCGAAGTTGTTGAAGGAGCCATTCAATCGGACTGTTGATGTGTTTCCTTACTTTTAAATGACAAATATTCGTCATTAACAGATTATGAACGCTGTTTGTGAACGCTGCCTTGAAAATTGTTATACTTGAATTGTTTTAATTGAATGAAATGTATGTTCTTAATTTGAAAAATTTTTGTTTAATGAAATGAATTTTTTCTAATCCAAACTAAGTGTTTTTTTTTTTTAACGAAAGGAATTGTAAATAGTGTTTTGACGAAATTTATTTTTTTAAAAAGTGACTTAATTGTAAATAGGATTTTAATAGTTAGCATTGTTATCAATAATATATGTTCGAATAATAATAATAATGGTAATAATAACAATAATAATAATAATAATAATAATAATAGTGATGATGAGGATGATAACAAAATTAGTTTCCAGTAAAAACTAAACGCAGCAAAACTGTTTACAAACTCATCAAAATAGCCAACAAAACTATTTTCTTGAGATGTCGACTTTTTAATGAGGGTGCTAATTGGGGTACCCAATTCTCAGTTAACTACTAATTTTTCGGCCAAATATCGGTTAACTTACTATTTTTTAGCCAGTTTTCAGTTCACTTACTAATTTTATTTATAGTATGAACCTTCACTTTCCTACAGCAAATATTATTCTGTCATAACCCGAATTTCTTTACTTCAGCACGTCAATCACTTTTGGGGGTAGGCCCTACTAAAATCAAGGTATACATTTGCATGAATTCACACTAAAATGATACACTCCGCCACTAGTACAATTTATAAGTAACTGAAAACATGGAAAAGAACATAATTATCTAACCTACGAAGCAAAAATGGGTAAGCGATAGCTAGTAAGACCCCAATTTACCGATTTTTGCTGTAAGTACAAATTAGATCCACGTAGATCTAGAGGCACCAGTGATGATCTCGTACTGATCTTCCCGAACTGGTCATGCATGTGCTGCCATAAACTACTTCAAAGTCACCTTCTTCGTCACTTTCAATCCATTTTCAATCCTTGCAACCCACTGCAAAAGACGACGCGAAACAATATCAATGCCAAAATAAAGTCTTAAATAACAAAACTGGACCTTCAATTGATGCTTTTTAAACAGAAAGCAAATAGCATCATATAGTCCCGTGACGCTGGTGGTAAAGATCCCGCTTTGTCTTGAGTTGATTCGCTTCTTATAGTTCGTTGTCAAACAGGTAGAAAGTTGTCTATCCAGTCCACCCCATCCCAACTTCATCTTCTTCCGACATTGTTTGTCTCGACCGATGGAAGAGACATAGTTGAGAGTGCTGAACAAAGGCGTGAAAGTATTTGACAGGACAATTCGACTTTTCGTGAGTTTAGCCCACTTCGAATTCGTAGTTCTTTTAAGCGATTCCTTCACTCTATTTTCAAAGTCTTGGCCGTAGTTCAAAGCACTAATTAGGGCCAAATATTTAAGCGAAGTCTAACTCACTGCCGCGGTTTAATGAATATTTGAACCTCCAGATCAGGCTCAGTCTTTGGTGTTTTTTTTTAAGAAGATAAATGCTTTTCTAGTCTTCTCCGTATGCTTTCATAAAACTGTTTACAATAAATGATGTTTTATAGTTAAAATCGTTGGGCAAATTGAAAATGACTTAGAAAGCGGTTTTGTTAAACAGTGGCTAAACTATACGTTTAAATATTTGGCTCTAAATGTTTTGTGTTGAATGAAGTGAGAAACCGCGTGAAGGTCTTCCACCTGGTGTGCGTTGTCCGAAGTTTTTTGTACCTCGATACGGACTTTGTCGACATCCTTGTTCGCGTCCCTCAGTGTTACCTTTTTCGCAGACGTACCTTTTTCGCCTATTTCAAAAGCGTCATAAAGATATCCAAAGGTTTTTAAGAAATGAAACTGTTTCAGAAAGACGGGTTTAGACACGAGCTAAATATTCTCAATAGTTGGAACTGAAACATCTGTTACAAAAGTGATATCTCGTAAGTACAAATTCCATGTACTTAAATGAAAGATGCTGATTTCTTTGAGCCATCAGTAATTCTCTATGGCCAGATCCAATGCTCAGAGTCACAGCCTTTTTCTTTGGTAGTAATGTTTAACTTGACGTCCTTTTGGGTCCGTGACAACAGTATTTCCTTATCCTATCATAGAAATCTTGTTAATATCAGAATTACGAATTATTCGTTAAGTTGTCTACAACGGCAGCTCTATGCCGGACGCTTTCTGGTTGCCGGGTACTGCTGTGGTGCCTTTTGCACATAAAAATATCAGTTAAGGTGCCACCGGGTCATTAGCGGGACAGAAAAAAGTCAGAAAACAGCATTTCTGTTTGCAAAACATTGTTGCTTTCATTAACATCAACGATCGTATTCAGTAAAATTAATAGAATGTCACTTAACTGTTAACTTTTCATTTCTCAGTTAACTACTGTTTTTTTTTTTTACCAAATATCAGTTAACTGCTAACCCCATTGGCACCTCTTTTAATGTCCTTTGAAAAAACTCAATGCTTCGCATGTCTTTTGTTTGACCAACCACAGAGGTCCAAAAAGTAAGTTACAAGCGATTCTGACGATTCACAGCCGTACACTCCTAGCTCATAATTAAACATCAAGACTTCATATCAAACATCAAATACCTTCAAAGAACGCTTGAATCAGTTATGCAAATTGTTTAAATTCAACTACTTATTAGTACTTCGCCTTTTGAATGGATGAATGGCCAGGAGCACGAATACTGAGTGCAGGTAAGGTGTCTCTCCCAACTTTATAAACTTTTAATTATTATTATTACTTATTTTTTCAGACGTAGACGAATGCACAGCAAGTACCCATGATTGTCATACGTCATCTACTTGCACGAATACCAAAGGTTCTTTTACTTGTTCCTGTAACCCCGGTTACACGGGCGACGGCAAAACCTGTAGCAGCGGTAAGCTGTCTTAACCTACTAGGAACTAAATCTATCTGGATTGCTTGTGTTGTAAATCTATGGCTAGTAAGTACACTTCGATGATCAATGCTCATAATATGATAAAGAAAAAGAAATGAAAATGTACTTAGGAGCTGGAGGCACATTGATTGGTAGGAGCTGCAGGTAAAATGTCTCCTAATTGGTCGCATGAAACAATGATATTTCATTCTTCCAATTGTTTTAGTAATAAGTATTGTTTGGGGTTAGGGAAACGCACCATTAATGACTTCTCTTCCGAGCAGCTGACAATTGATTCCACGGCTGCCATACCTCACAATAACATATCATAATACCTTGAAACTTAACAGTTCTGTAGTACACGAAAACCCATACTACCAAATCCAAATTATTCATTCAATGCAATCTTAAAATCCAAGGACGGCGTCACCTTTTTCCCTTTCGTCGACGATCGTTGCCATTATTTCTACCATTGATAACCTAGCCTTTAAGTAATAAATTGCCTGAAGGCGAATAATATTTTTTTAAGTTAGTTGTAGAAAGAACGTACTATGCGACAAGTCTCCGTGCTGCGAGCCAAATTTTAATAAGACGAAGGACTTCTTCGAAAGTTGAAGATATTACTTGAGAATGTAAGCAAAATAAAATAAATCATGAAATAATGTGACAGTTCTATTGTCTTTAAAAGAAAAAAACAGATAACGCTCGAGAGTGCGCATCATCAGAGCGCTAGCGCTGTCCCTTTAAGCGATTGTTTTCCTACCTTGTCTCTAAGGTGTGTTAGGAATGCCAGTACACCAGACGACAACAATCAATGAAAATCAATCATTTATTTCAATCAATATAATCAATAAAAATCAATAAAAATCTATTGATTTATATTGATTGGCTTAGCCAATCAACAAAAACCGATAATTACTCACCGATTATGCAACAGTAAAAACCCTAGCCTCCTACGTAGACGTTCTTAGGGGTTCGTCACGCGTTCCGGTCCCACTAACGACGTTAGTAGGACAGGGATGCGTAACGAATCCCTAAGAACGTCTGCGTGGGAGGCTATAAAAACCCGGGTAGGCATTAGCTTAAATGCTGGTTAAACGTCGGTCGCAAGCACAACAAAGCTGTTACGTTATGTCTGTGGAAATTTCTATTTCTTGCGTAGTCATGGAGTATCACACTGTCCTTTTAAAGTAAAGGAAGGGGAAGTGTTTTACGTTTCCAAAAAGAGGGGAGAACGGAGGGTACTGAGGCCAGCTTGGCCATCTCCAAGCCGATCTTGTCACCCCACTTTATTCACATCAAGTGGATATTTCCGCGTAAGTATAGTAAACGGAGAAGAAGAGGAACAACAACAACAATACCTTTATTCACCTTGTACTTAATTAATTACATACTCACGTGGAAGAGAAAAAATATATATTTATTTTTACTTAATAAGGCCTGGAGCTGAAATAATCCTAAGATTTTCTAGCCAGTTCTCCAGAATTTAAAGTTTTAGAGAATTGAGATAGAATTTATTTCTAAAGAAGCAGTTTTAAAATACAATGTATTAAGAAAGAAAGTGTATATGCTTAAGTTATGTTAATTATGTTGTTCTGACAGCAAATAAGGTTTCAATTGTTTTTGGAATTGGTATGTGTTTAGTTCTTTAAGAGTTATGGGAATTTTTTTTCCAGATGGTACATGCAGCATATCCGATTGTTTGTTTCCCGTATTAGTTCGCACTTTTTTTACGTTAAGATTCTGTTTCGATGCATATCTGGTATTGTATTTGTGGAGATTACTGGCATATTGAAAATAGTTTGAGAACAGCTTTGGCAGGAGGCCTTTATGCCAGAGGTACGTGAATTTTAGAATCGGCAAAAACGTTTGTATCGTCTGCAAATATTCTAAATGTTAGAGCATTTGAAAAGTTTGGTAAATCGTTTATGTAGATTAAAAATAATACCGGGCCTAGGGAACTCCCTTGTGGAATACCGCACGTCATTGTTTGCTTTGACGAAATTGTATTTCCCATCTGTACATATTGCTGTCTATTTGTGAGATAGCTTGCAAAAAGTTGGAGAGGCACGCCGCGTATCCCGTAGCGTTCCATTTTCTTAAGTAAAAATTGTGTGGTTCACCGTATCAAACGCCTTGGAAAAGTCCAAAAACACGCCACAGGAATACAAATTGTTATCTATCGCATTACGTAAATTATCAGCAATTTCTGCAATGGCCTGTGAGGTTAAATGTCTCTTTCTAAAGCCGAATTGGAACTCGTATAGTATTTTATGCTTTTCCAAGTAATTAACAAGCTGTTCACAAATGATTTTTTCGAAAATTTGGGTTAGCGCAGAGAGTGTAGAGATAGGTCGATAATTAAAGGGATCCATCTCCTCACCCCCTTTATCTATTGGTGTGACTTTCGAAACTTTAAAATTTTCCGGAAATGTTCCTTGCAATAGAGATTGATTGAAAACCACACTTAATGCCTCATATATATGGTTTGCTGCATATTTTATGCATCTTCTTGGAATATCTAATGCCGACTTGTCTACTTTCAAACTCATTATTTTGTCATATACTTCAGTCGGGCAAATGCCACGGAACATAAAACCATTTGGTGTCATAGTTCTATCTAAATACACTGAAGGGTCAATGTCATGTTTTGGTAGTTTATCTGCTGAAGTAAAACAGTCTGTACAACAATTTACACAAATCACACTACAGCCAATAAAATCGATGTAAATCATGAAAATCAATGAAAATAAAGAATCACTCAAGACTGCGGCTTTGATTTTTATTGATTTTCAATATCTATCAATTAATTGCTATTGATTTGTATGGACTATTGATGTTATTGATTATCGATTTTGAGTGAATGTTATCGTCTGGTAGTACAATTTACAAGCATTTGCGGTACTTACCTGAGTCGAGGCCCTGCGCGTCCTGTCATGATTGACTGTTCCTCGAGATCAGCAATGACTAGATCATTTTCGCTATTCCCCTCTTTATCTAACACGGTATCCGATATCTTGACTCTCCTCTTCACTGCCCAACAACTCACTTCCGTTGTTTGGACTTTGATGATGATGATGATGATGATGATGATGATGATGGTAATAATAATGATAGTGATGATGGGAAATTTTATAGCGATCGGACAAGGAAAAAACCGCTTTAAAGGCGATTGAAAAATATCGGTATGGCCTCTGAAAAACTGTATCGAATCACCTTAACCCTAGCGACGTTCTTGTAATGCGTTTTCTGGAACTGTTTCTCGTCCTACAAACTTCCGCCCACTCAACGAATTTAAAAAAGCAAAAATGGACAAAATGAGTGGAAGAAGATTACACCATGGAAGAACAAAATTGACGGACCAAATTTGCATTGATTTAATCGACAGCAGAAATGAAACTAAACTTGTACAAGATTTTGACAACTGCCCAGTTGAGGAAAATTGTCGGAAAATCGGTATCATGGATTCGGCAGCACAAAATCTCAAGAGATAAATTTGCATATTTAGAGAGAACTTGTACATGATACATGATAAACTTCGGGAACAAATTTAAGGGAGAACAATAAACCAGCCAATAACCGGACCGGACGCAACGCGCGTGATAATCCACTAACCTAATCATGCAAGCCAACTGGAGAGCAGGCCATTGTGCCTTCTTCAGTAATATATACCCGATGCAGGAATACATAACCGTACATACATTACCTTTACTTATCCTCAGATTTACATGAGTGGAAATATATGAAATGACTCATATTTTGAACTGCGTCCGGTCATCGCAAAGGTCAGGGTTCGATCGATATTCCCAGTCAAGCCATTTTTTCGTGCCATTTTTTCAAATTTCTTGGAAGAACAGAGCGCTCGAAACCACCCACAATACCTTTCGAGATTGTCGCGTGCACTTTTTCCGACAACCCTTCTCGAAATAGCTGTATACAAATGGAGAGGGGGGGGGGGGGGGGGGGGCAGTNTCCTACAAACTTCCGCCCACTCAACGAATTTAAAAAAGCAAAAATGGACAAAATGAGTGGAAGAAGATTACACCATGGAAGAACAAAATTGACGGACCAAATTTGCATTGATTTAATCGACAGCAGAAATGAAACTAAACTTGTACAAGATTTTGACAACTGCCCAGTTGAGGAAAATTGTCGGAAAATCGGTATCATGGATTCGGCAGCACAAAATCTCAAGAGATAAATTTGCATATTTAGAGAGAACTTGTACATGATACATGATAAACTTCGGGAACAAATTTAAGGGAGAACAATAAACCAGCCAATAACCGGACCGGACGCAACGCGCGTGATAATCCACTAACCTAATCATGCAAGCCAACTGGAGAGCAGGCCATTGTGCCTTCTTCAGTAATATATACCCGATGCAGGAATACATAACCGTACATACATTACCTTTACTTATCCTCAGATTTACATGAGTGGAAATATATGAAATGACTCATATTTTGAACTGCGTCCGGTCATCGCAAAGGTCAGGGTTCGATCGATATTCCCAGTCAAGCCATTTTTTCGTGCCATTTTTTCAAATTTCTTGGAAGAACAGAGCGCTCGAAACCACCCACAATACCTTTCGAGATTGTCGCGTGCACTTTTTCCGACAACCCTTCTCGAAATAGCTGTATACAAATGGAGAGGGGGGGGGGGGAGGTCATTGTGCCAAGCGCTTCTTGCAGAGACCGTGGAAAATGGGACTAAGAAACGTTGCGTGATCGAAGCCACGCACGTTTTGCCACAGGCGGCCCAGACGTAGTGTGTGTCAATATATTATTATATTATATTATATTATTATGGACAAATTAGTGCGATGAGTCGTCGAAACTCCCATGAACTACAATAGTCCAAAAGTCAAAACATAACAAAACAAAGTTAAGATACCTTTAACTGAACGTATCCTTGTCTTTCCTGGCCGATGAAAGTGGCATTTTGTTGAGTTTTGCTATTATACCCGGCCGCATGGCATGGCCTATTTTATTGTAGTGTGCATTTAGCTGGCATTTTAAGCAAAACGTTTGCCTCATCCGATACTGTGTGTTTTGGTCACCGGCCAGGCGCTATTTGCAGGTATTTCTAAGTTTATATAGGGCAAACAGAGAGATTAGTAAGGTTTGTTTACAGATTATTTTTGGTTACGTGAAAATACGCGTAGGTAAATGTTTGTTTCAAAGCAGGACAGGGTTGTTAATCTTATTCTTATCGGCTGCAACATATATCTGAGGGATACCAGAGAATAAATATGAATTATGGGGACATATAAAATCGATCAAAAACGACTCCCGCTTCGCGAGCAATGAATCTTGAATTATGTACTAAATTTCCTTGCGTGCATCTTACTCGCTCCCGATTGGTTCAGAAACAATCAGCTACTGTCAAACCTCACACACGCGCACTATCGTGACACAGCCCCTTTAAGCGCTAATTTCGAAAAAAATATTTACCAACAATGAAATCGGAATATTTCATATTATTGCTGAATCATATCTGTTGTTCTTTGCAAAGTTTCGAAGCCATATCGTGTTAAAAACGAAAAAGGTTATGACGAAAAGTTCGTCACAGCTCAATGCTCCTTTATTAATGACGGAGCCACCTTAATTTAGGTCGACGCCCAAATTACAATTTAGTTCTTCTCATAACAATATCAACGTTTGGCCTTGGCCTCAGTCGTATTACCACTGTTTAAAAAACAATTCGAGGAAAATTCAATATTAAGGCCGGTCTTCAAGTACAGACAATTTTCTGTGACATTTTTGCTGCCTACATTTTTTGATGTGGCTATTTTATGATGAATTATTTGCGGTTTCCCAATCCCATAGGCCATGTTTGGGATTCCTTCGATTCTAGGTTAGCTTTTAAGGCTAGGAAAGTATTTACTAGGCAGAGCGTGTTGTTCATTGGTGCTCCTAAACATATTTTCCAACATTAAATTTCAGTTTACAAAAACTGTGCCGATTATTACAAAGCAGGTCAACGAATAAGTGGTGTTTACCGCGTCGACCCCGATAATACCGGTGCCTTTGATGTGTATTGTGACCAAAGAACAGCAGGTGGAGGTTGGGCAGTGTTTCAGAAAAGACTTGACGGCTCAGTTGACTTCGATCGCGTTTGGAAAGACTACAAACAAGGCTTCGGGAATCTAAACGGGGAATTTTGGCTTGGACTGGATAAGGTTCACCGTCTGACGAAAGAACAAAGCAAGCTTCGGGTGGAACTCGAGGATTTTAACGGACAAACAGCTTACGCTGAGTACGACTTGTTTGGCGTTGCTGACGAAGGAAATAAATACAGGCTAACTCTTGGAACGTATGCAGGTTAGTGCTTTGAGAGGAATAGACTGGATGGGGCACCTCCAAAAAGCAAATCTTGATCAAGTCAGTACATTGACGGGAAGCAAAAGTTTACCTTACTTACAAGGTCGACTCATTGAACATTCAGAAGGCGCGAAGTCATCTTAAGTACAGTTAATCCTCTTCTCATACGGATATTTTCATGTCACGTTTCTCTCTTCAGCCCACATTTGACACCTTGCAATTCGGGAAACCCAGGTTTGCGTCCCCCTCATTATCTGGAGTTGTTTGTCGCTCAGGGGGGAGGGGAAAGGGTTGCTCAACAAATGTTTGTACGGCGAGGTTCCGCCTCGAAGTCCAGGTCAGCACTTGTTAACATCCGTCGAAAGGCCCTCTTGTCTTCGGTCGGATTTCGAAACCTATGACGTCACGCTCGCCTCGTGATTCCCCCTGTGACTCATGTAAGCTTCGCTTCGATCGTCCACTCCGATTTGTGTGATGATCTGATGTTTGTTTCGAGGTCTTGTCTTGCTTCTTCGTTCATCCCTCGATTGATAAAACCAAGAAGATGCCACCGCATCTGTTTGAAAAGGATGTTTTAATGTTTCGCCTCGATCGAGCCGCTTGGCGCATCAAGAAGCTCCTTTCAGCGGATGTTACTGAGTAACATCCCTTGAATGGCCCCGGATCGAATGACATTCATGAAGAAATTACACAAAGAAGCAAATAAAACTGAAATGAACGGCTGCCACATTTAAGGTGACTCGACCCAGTTTTTTTGGGTGGGTACCATCCTACTTTGAAGCTCTCTGGTATCCCCACCTTTACTTTTATCGTAAGTCTAACACATAGAATGGATAACATATAGATCAATCTACAATATAACATAAAATTTTTGGCGATCGGAGTAAATGAAAGAGGGGGGGGGGGGGGGGGGGGGGGGGAGGTCATTGTGCCAAGCGCTTCTTGCAGAGACCGTGGAAAATGGGACTAAGAAACGTTGCGTGATCGAAGCCACGCACGTTTTGCCACAGGCGGCCCAGACGTAGTGTGTGTCAATATATTATTATATTATATTATATTATTATGGACAAATTAGTGCGATGAGTCGTCGAAACTCCCATGAACTACAATAGTCCAAAAGTCAAAACATAACAAAACAAAGTTAAGATACCTTTAACTGAACGTATCCTTGTCTTTCCTGGCCGATGAAAGTGGCATTTTGTTGAGTTTTGCTATTATACCCGGCCGCATGGCATGGCCTATTTTATTGTAGTGTGCATTTAGCTGGCATTTTAAGCAAAACGTTTGCCTCATCCGATACTGTGTGTTTTGGTCACCGGCCAGGCGCTATTTGCAGGTATTTCTAAGTTTATATAGGGCAAACAGAGAGATTAGTAAGGTTTGTTTACAGATTATTTTTGGTTACGTGAAAATACGCGTAGGTAAATGTTTGTTTCAAAGCAGGACAGGGTTGTTAATCTTATTCTTATCGGCTGCAACATATATCTGAGGGATACCAGAGAATAAATATGAATTATGGGGACATATAAAATCGATCAAAAACGACTCCCGCTTCGCGAGCAATGAATCTTGAATTATGTACTAAATTTCCTTGCGTGCATCTTACTCGCTCCCGATTGGTTCAGAAACAATCAGCTACTGTCAAACCTCACACACGCGCACTATCGTGACACAGCCCCTTTAAGCGCTAATTTCGAAAAAAATATTTACCAACAATGAAATCGGAATATTTCATATTATTGCTGAATCATATCTGTTGTTCTTTGCAAAGTTTCGAAGCCATATCGTGTTAAAAACGAAAAAGGTTATGACGAAAAGTTCGTCACAGCTCAATGCTCCTTTATTAATGACGGAGCCACCTTAATTTAGGTCGACGCCCAAATTACAATTTAGTTCTTCTCATAACAATATCAACGTTTGGCCTTGGCCTCAGTCGTATTACCACTGTTTAAAAAACAATTCGAGGAAAATTCAATATTAAGGCCGGTCTTCAAGTACAGACAATTTTCTGTGACATTTTTGCTGCCTACATTTTTTGATGTGGCTATTTTATGATGAATTATTTGCGGTTTCCCAATCCCATAGGCCATGTTTGGGATTCCTTCGATTCTAGGTTAGCTTTTAAGGCTAGGAAAGTATTTACTAGGCAGAGCGTGTTGTTCATTGGTGCTCCTAAACATATTTTCCAACATTAAATTTCAGTTTACAAAAACTGTGCCGATTATTACAAAGCAGGTCAACGAATAAGTGGTGTTTACCGCGTCGACCCCGATAATACCGGTGCCTTTGATGTGTATTGTGACCAAAGAACAGCAGGTGGAGGTTGGGCAGTGTTTCAGAAAAGACTTGACGGCTCAGTTGACTTCGATCGCGTTTGGAAAGACTACAAACAAGGCTTCGGGAATCTAAACGGGGAATTTTGGCTTGGACTGGATAAGGTTCACCGTCTGACGAAAGAACAAAGCAAGCTTCGGGTGGAACTCGAGGATTTTAACGGACAAACAGCTTACGCTGAGTACGACTTGTTTGGCGTTGCTGACGAAGGAAATAAATACAGGCTAACTCTTGGAACGTATGCAGGTTAGTGCTTTGAGAGGAATAGACTGGATGGGGCACCTCCAAAAAGCAAATCTTGATCAAGTCAGTACATTGACGGGAAGCAAAAGTTTACCTTACTTACAAGGTCGACTCATTGAACATTCAGAAGGCGCGAAGTCATCTTAAGTACAGTTAATCCTCTTCTCATACGGATATTTTCATGTCACGTTTCTCTCTTCAGCCCACATTTGACACCTTGCAATTCGGGAAACCCAGGTTTGCGTCCCCCTCATTATCTGGAGTTGTTTGTCGCTCAGGGGGGAGGGGAAAGGGTTGCTCAACAAATGTTTGTACGGCGAGGTTCCGCCTCGAAGTCCAGGTCAGCACTTGTTAACATCCGTCGAAAGGCCCTCTTGTCTTCGGTCGGATTTCGAAACCTATGACGTCACGCTCGCCTCGTGATTCCCCCTGTGACTCATGTAAGCTTCGCTTCGATCGTCCACTCCGATTTGTGTGATGATCTGATGTTTGTTTCGAGGTCTTGTCTTGCTTCTTCGTTCATCCCTCGATTGATAAAACCAAGAAGATGCCACCGCATCTGTTTGAAAAGGATGTTTTAATGTTTCGCCTCGATCGAGCCGCTTGGCGCATCAAGAAGCTCCTTTCAGCGGATGTTACTGAGTAACATCCCTTGAATGGCCCCGGATCGAATGACATTCATGAAGAAATTACACAAAGAAGCAAATAAAACTGAAATGAACGGCTGCCACATTTAAGGTGACTCGACCCAGTTTTTTTGGGTGGGTACCATCCTACTTTGAAGCTCTCTGGTATCCCCACCTTTACTTTTATCGTAAGTCTAACACATAGAATGGATAACATATAGATCAATCTACAATATAACATAAAATTTTTGGCGATCGGAGTAAATGTCACGTGGTTATAATGCCACGCCCCTTTGAGGTCTGAGTCGAAAATCTGCTGTTGCCGGCATTTTTTCGTGAAAATCTCTCGGCTACACATAGTGCGCATTAGTGCCTTGCGCTGAACAGAGTTTCACCAAAATCGCAAAGACCCAATTCGAGAAATTCAGCGGTTTCCAAATTTAGGTCATAATTTATGCGAAAATGATAAGCAAACTTTACACGGATTATATCTAATAAACTATGAGATTCATCTCTTTATTTTGGGCATCGTTATAACAGATGGGTCCTTGCAAGTCAGCAAAACGCTTTAGGGCCTTGTAAATGCGCGCGATTTCGAGCAAAGCAAACATATAGAAATTATAGTTTTCGCTATTTGTTGACGTTTGTCAGCGTTTAAGAGTCCTTCTCACGAAAAAAGCATTTTCTTAAAAATTCGTAGTTTTTTTTCCTTCAAATTTTTTCAGGGCCACAATTGATTAACTAACTACCCGGATTCTGAATTTCATGGTCATTGAAAAACTGTGACATTATCTTCTATAAGCCCAAACTTGAGTAAACATTGAAGATTTTTAGCGTTTTGGATGAGTTTGTGCTTTGGGGGTTGTCTATTGTTCCTAGTCTGTCATGATACAGCATTCTTGTTCAGCACGCGTGCAATGACCGCGCTTGGCTTACATTAAAGCCAATTCCCTTTCAAGCAAACAGCTATGACCGTGGCCGATTTTGTCTGCCTGGTAAGCATTTTTGGATAGTATTGCCACAATTTGTAATAGCGATGACTATAATATTTTTCAGTGAAACCTCTATTAAGCTGACCCCCAATTAAGCAGACACCCTGTCTTAAGCAGACACTAAACCGGGTCCTGAAACGGAAGTCTGATATTTCCCTTTGTAACAAACCCCTATTCAGCGGACACCTCTATTAAGTGGACGCGGACACTAAAATAAGTTGTATTTGGCTAATTTCTATTGTTAAAAACCTCTATTAAGCAGGCACCGGACTAAATTGACAATTGTATATTGTATTACGTCCTTGAAATACTTACTGAGGTCATGAGTTAATGTTTTTGCATTTACAAACAAATGAAAGTTGGTAATGAAAGGTAATGAACTTGAACTCTGGATACAGAGTAATTAACCGTTAAATGTTGATCGTTAACAAACATTGTGCAATTTTTAAAACCTCTATTAAGCGGACACCCTAAGCAGACACTTGGGAAGGTCCCGAAGGTGCCCGCTTAATAGAGGTCTCACTGTAATTGATATAATAACAATGTAATAGTAATGATTATGATTATTATAGTTTACATTGTTAGACAATGAAATATTTTTAAACTTTCAGTATTCTGAACATCACTCATGTTCTTAAACTACTGTTTGGACCAAACTGAGGCATGAAGGGCCGAAAAAATTTTTTTGGAGACCACCCCCCCCCCCTCCCCTCTTATCTCAGGGTCTGGATGACCGGGCTCCCCCTTATCTGAAGGTCTAGATCCGCCACTGTATGGGGCATTTCAGTTGAACAGACCCCCCCCCCCCCTCCCCTCTTATCTCAGGGTCTGGATGACCGGGCTCCCCCTTATCTGAAGGTCTAGATCCGCCACTGTATGGGGCATTTCAGTTGAACAGATGTCTTTCACAAGCAGCATAATTCCAGAGTAATTTGGTCAACACTTTGATGCTGAATAAGAAAACAAATTATCATATATAGAGAGAAAAGAGGATCGAGAGTGCACCAAAATCGACCCACCAGTCAAATCACATAGCCAATAATGCACAAGAAAACAAAAAACAAATGACATGCCTTTACTGTGAAAGAAGTTGAAGGAACAATTACAGCAGAAGAGGCTTTAAGGTACACTTATAAACTAATATTCAAGAAAGAACTCCAAGATATCAGGGAGTGGAGATTATTTACAGAGAGGGAAGGGCCAATGCAGATGGCAAGATACCATTTCCAAATTCTTTGGACCCTCCCCTTTCAGTTTTTACAGGACATATTTTTGACAAAACAACAAGAAGCTAAGTCAAAACTCTGAGGGGTTACTTAAGTTGAATTAAAAATATTGATTCCACCATTCATTCATTGTAATTGTACTGTTAAAGAAACGTATGACAAAAAATGTTGAACAAACCCATTGACCTGATAGGCAACCTTTCCCAAGAAATAACTTGCACATATCATGTAGATGAAGACTTCATAGTATCAATGGCTTCGAACCAAAATGCACAGTTTAAGCACATTTTCATTTGCAACTTTAATTACAAAGCATTAAATAAGTAAGCCTAAATAAATGAATAAATAAATAAGTCTGACAGAATTTATGTAAACATGGCTTCAGTGAGTGTCTACAGGTCCTATGCTAAGTGTGTCCTTGGTACCAAGACTTTGATCCCACCCAGGACAATGGGTAACTGTCTGTGCCTGCCACTGAGCTCTGTAATTATCAACAGCAACAACAAAACTTTATTAATAAACACATAAACTTACAGAAGTATTGCCCGCAGCTAGCAAGGCTATTCGAGGCGGGACAATGCGTGCAAAATATAAAAATAGAGACTAAGGCTATTAACATTGTCATTCTCAGCAGAGGCCTGATTCAGCTCGGTGGCTAGGGCAAATTAAGAACAAGGTACTTGCCAGTCAAAGCCTCTAGTGAACACTGCTGCTTACTGAAAGGGGTGTGGCAAAATAGCCCCCTCCCTACCCCACTAATTTTGGCCCCCTGACCTGATCCACCCAACCACCGTTAGGGCAGTCCCTGGGCTATCCAGCTAAACCGAACAAGACGGCAAACGACCCCTACCTTCTTGGACACTGGACTGGCCTGGTCCCGGGCTGTGCCCGGCTCCAGGCGAAAACCTAGTGACCAGTCATTTTAACGAAATCAGACAGAAATATTATTAAAAATAATATTATTATTACAGCCTCATATTTTGCACATTCTCTTGACCTTATGTGGTAAAATGACATATAAATAGTAGGATAATAAATAACGATATTGATCCTTCTCCTCAAGTGTGAAATATAAGTATGGCGATTTTTACACAATATTCAATAAGGAAACTGATAATGTATAATTGTCACCTAGATACACAGCCTGGTGATCTGGGGCCATTCAAAGGATGTTATTCAGTACCATCCACTAAAAGGTCCTTTTCCCCGCGGAGTAAGAAGAGGCTTGAAACATCAAAACATCCTCTAAACGGAGGCAGTGGCATCTTCTTGTTTGAATTGATTGGAATCAATCGAGGAATGATCCAAAAAGTGGGACAAAATCTCTCACCAAAAATCAAACAATTCGGAGTGCAGATGAATCACATATTGAACTTCGAGGCGAGCGTGACGTCATACGTTTACGAAATCAGACCGAAGATAAGAGGGCCTTTCGACGGATGTTAACGAGTGCTGACCCGAAGTCCAAGACCTTACCCTTTTATATACTATTTAGCCTGTGAACAGGCTAAATATAAACCCGCGAGGAGAGGGAAGGGAAAGGGTAACCCTTTCCTCGCGATTTTATTCACCCTTCCCCCATACAGAGAGCCCGTTCACAGGCTATAAACCATTTTTTTACGAAAAAAATACCCCTTCCGTATACCTTCTGTTGACGAATGATGCCTCTTTCACATACCTTCTGTTAGCCCTTTGGACCATTTCACAGACCCAAATGGCAGGTTTTCCTACCCTTTCATACACTTCAACGAGTAAACTCCCTACCCTTTCATATACCTGAAGCCTGGAAAAGGTACCCCTTTCGGGCGGAGCCTCCCCGTATAGGCCATTAGAGGGAGTACCCCCCAGGCTTTCTCGACAGTCTCGGCCATGCTTTGTGAATTGTCTTCTGCCATTTGCTGTTTTTGAACCATGTTACGCCGCTTTTGTTTAGATGTTAGCTTCAAGAGTTACACTGTAAATCCGAGGTACGGTGATGTGGTGCGTAATGTGATGTGATTATATGTTTGCGATCCATTATTTGTGAGCGTGGAGATCAGCTAAGTGCACATCCACTATAAACAGGGGTTTACATTTTACATTAATTCTATATTATCATCTTTTGTTTGTTTCTATTTCTCACTTCATTAATATGCTGTGTTTTTAATTCATTTTTCTAATCACA